AATGACTAAAACGTTAGCTAAACGTAAGCAAAAATGTTTCAAAACATATATGTTTTAAGACTAACTACTAGACACAACCAAAGATCTTCTTTGACCAGCTCTGAGTATATGTTTTGTAGGTTTTATAGCCATCTGCAGCCACCTAGTGGAAGCAGGTTTTTTTTTTTTTTTGTGGTGGAGGGGAGGGTGTAGCTCACAAAACACACCTTGAACATCGCCCAAAACAGATTTGCTGTCACAGGAACACTAGTTAAACTTTACCTTTTTTATTATTCTGTCTCTTCTGTCATGTTTTCCATTGACAGCTGTGACGTTCGACCTGGTTTTTTATTTCAATGCTGGATAGCAGACAGTGGTGTCAGCATTTGCGTGATACTTCTTTTATCACTGGTCTTTGAACCTGATTTAAAAACAGGCTCGTGAGCAGTTCGTTTATATTTAGAACCTTCTCTTATGATAAAACTTTTTTGTTTGTTTGTTTCAGCTAGGCAAACCGTTTGCAACAAAGTCACATCTGTTCACGTCTTTTATGAGATCCTAAATCAAAGGTCGCTTTCCTGACATCCCACCTGGTTTTAGTGTCAACTTGCTTCTGATAAGGGAGTGTAAATCGGCTGAAACACTTCCTTAAGTAGCATTTATTCCAGTAACCTTAAAGGTCTCTAAATATAACAAACGTCTTTCTAAGTTTGATGTTGATATTCCACTTAAAGCATAATATGTTAGGAAACACTACCTCCAGATTAAATGATTTGTTAGAAAATTAGTAGAAGAGTAGAAAAAAAAAGAAAGGTGTTCCTCCACGTCACCTATGCTTCAGTTGGTAACTTATTAAATCTAATGACGAGTCATATTTATCTAGTCCGTGACCTTGCTAGAAGGAAGTTAAATGAAAAAATGGAAAGCAAAAAGACATCAATTTTTCCATCCATGTTTCATACAGCAGGCTTGCTTATTGTGGAAAACTAAAAAAAAAAAAATCTTCCCCACTGTCTCAAAGCTATATCCTCATAGAGTGCTTGTTATTTTCATCTATTTCAAATTGCACAGATGGTGCGGTCCGAGGGTAACCAAACTCCTCGGGGAAAATTGTATCACAAACACATCCCCTGGTGTGTACCATACTGAATGACCTCACATTCACCTGTAATAATAATATATGCATGAAAGGGAACACTTGTTGTATTGTACTACATAACATAAACCATTTTAAAGATAGCGAGATGGGCGTTCTGGTAGCAAATACAGTATGTCAAAGTGGACACTCCCACCCACAGAGGAGTGGTGATTAATAAAGGTGCCTGTGGCAGACAGCCGATCATTTACTGGATCTGCCTTTGTCACTCACTGCACCTTTTTTCTTCCTTGTGTTTTTTTTCCGTGGTAACATTTGCAATGGCTGAAAAATTCAAATTCTCTCGGCTGGGTGTAATCTATGTTGGTAAGTTTTCAATGTTTTTATAGGCACATAAATATATGTATGTATGTCAATATATATATATATATATATATATATATATATTTACAATATCATATTAAATATAACTTCCTGGCAGTACAGGGCACGGCAAGCTGTTATCTCTAGTACTACAGTACCATGCTATACTTTACTCTTTATACCCTGTACTGTACTCCGCTGCTGTCAACACTGTGAATTTCTCCATTGTGGGATGAAAAAATGACTTCTTAATTTATATATATAATCATTAACTAAAGAAAATACTGAATACCTAAATACATTAAGATAAAACTATTTGGTAAGAATGTACTTTTTCACCGATAAAGTAATAATTTCATACCTACTAGCCCCTCTTTAGTTTCTGACTGTTATGTACTCTTTTGGGTGGTTTTGGTGCAGTAGAAGCGGCTACTTTTGTGCAGCAGGTTACCTAAATGTTGTACCGGGAAAACGTTCAAATGCTAGATATCCACTCGGCTCCAGTAAAATATGTGTTCAACACTCACAAAAGCTAATCTGAATATTTAAGTGTGTGTAAAGTCCGGCTATCTGACCCCAGTGGCAGACTCAATATTACAGTGTGTTATATCACCCGGAATGTTTGAGGTGGAGTTTGAATGGGTATGGCATTAAATGTGTTATATGTGAGGACATAGTAATGGCAAGGGTATAATATTAATTGCATATGTGTATTTTTGTCAACCTTGAAATACAGTTGATATAGTGTTTGATCCAAATGAGCCACACACGGTGGTAATTGGGCTCCCTCTAGTGGTAATGATGTGGGATTAGTCACTTGGAACAAAGTTTTAAGAATCACTGAGGCAGAAGAAGGCAGCAAAATGTCACTAAATGGTTCCAGGAAAATGTTCAACACGTTATAACCATTAGATTCAGTAGGCACAGGGTTTATTTTTCATTTTAAGTTTTGTGTCAAAAATTCATTTTTTTTAAAAATGATTCCTAATAGACAAATATAGATCCTATAGTCCAGGGGTCACCAACCTTTTTGAGACTGAGAGCTACTTCAAGGGCACCTAGTAATACAAAGAGCTACTTTTTGTTTGATACAGACCTTCCGACCAATGTAATAATACTAAGTAACAGTACAATTGTTGACTAGTTTTATTTTTAGAACATAACAGGCACCTGGGGGCTACCAGATGCCCCCAGGCACCACATTGGTGACCCTTGCTATAGTCTGACAGTTCTGGTGTCTTTATCTAATCCAACTGGAATGTTGTTTCTCCACAGCCCTAGCTCTTATCTCTTCTGCAACATCAGAAGCAACAGGAACAACCGAAGCTTCTGCAACAGCACCTGCACCAACAACCGAAGCTCCTGCAACAACACCTGCACCAACAACCAAAGCTTCTGCAACAACACCCGCACTAACAACCAACATTTCTGGACCAACAACCAATGCTTCTGCAACAACACCCGCACTAACAACCAACGTTTCTGGACCAACAGCCAACGTTTCTACAGAAATACCCACAACACCGTTACCTACAACAACACCAACACCAGGTTCGTTTGTCTGTTTATTTTAAATCAATTTTTTTGCAACTCTAACGTCAACCACTACATATCACTGATGTCAAAAACCTTTCTAATAGTAAGTAAACATAACATCTTTATGTTATCTTCAAATGTACTTCATTAGAAAATGTTAAGTTTTAAAATTTTTTTTTTTTTTTTTCGGAGAGTCCTACGATTATAACAGGAAAGTATGTGAGAAAGGTAAGTGAGTTTGTACCATTTACAAGAAGAACCTTGTGTTTGTGATTAAGAGGAGCCTTTAGAGAAAAAAGAGGGGGTGGGGGGAGTTTCGATGTTCAATTAAAAAGTACTATTTTTTGTTTGATTAAAAACTGCATAATAATAGATTGGTGATTGTTAAATAAGCAATAGCTGCATTTAAATGAGTCAAAATAAATTTAAAGACTTTCTTTAAGGGGAATATTAAATCATTTATGTGCTGCCAAAAGTGGCCCTTTGGCCCACGAGTTTGAGACCCCCTGGCAGTCTCACAGGGAGACAGCTGCTGCATATTTGAGTAAAACTGTATAATTGAAAAGGAGTTCATATAAAACTTTACAACATGGTGAAATATTGTTTTGTTTTTTTAACGGACCGACATCAGCTTTCATTTCCTTCAGTTTCCTTAAAATTGTCTACTCTTGTAGCTATGTTTTATAGAGACCCTCATGTTACAAACAACAAACTACTCTTGGCAGACTTGTGCGTGAATAAATCTAAATTTGCGATTTCTGATTCTATTTTTTCATTTTCTCTTTCTGATTTCTGATTCTATTTTTTCATTTTCTTTTTTAACTTCAGCCAAGGTTTTCCCTGGGAGTCTGATGGTGCCTGGTTTACAGTATGTGGATGCAATGAAAAATATTGCTTCAACAGAATTTGCAAGAGCATCAAAAAACATTACAGATGACGTAAGATTATCTTATCTGTAAAATGTGATATTCATGAAGTACGTATTTTAAGTCCAAAATAATATGTTGACATAATTTTTTTTTTCCTCTTAACACAGCTTGGACCAAGTCTTAACACGACCCGCACACTTATTAACATAAGAGTGGTCAAACTCTTGTGAGTGTCACGATAAACCTCTGTTAAACAAATACATCCTAAAGCAAAACTAAATTATCCTGCATAAGTGTAAACACCTAACATGTGGTAACTGTGATCTTAGGCCAGGTGCAAGTCGCCAGGCTGAAGGACTGACGGCAGATATAGAGATTGTCTACAGCGCCACATCTACCGTCACACAAGAAGGTGTTACAGGGTTTATGAAAAAAATAGACTGTAACGGCTGCCCTCTGGAAATTTCAGTATTCACAGGTACTTCTATAGTTGTATCTTAATCTGGGTATTACCGTGCATCAAAAAAATAGAAAACTAACATCTTGAGATGATTCTCATAAATGCGCCACTTTTTCTCATAATTATACCACAATTTCTTGGCTATTGAGCGTACCTGAAATAAGCCGCACCCACTAAATTTAAGAAGAGAAAAAATAATCCTACATTAGTGCTGTGTGACACTGCATATTTTGGTATCGCTCCCATACCAAGTAAATACTGGCCAGTATTGCCGAAACCGATCCGATACTTTTCAATAAATAAGGTGGATGAATTGCATTGAATCGCTAAATCTCAATTAATTTTCATGACCTTAAGTGTTTTTTTAGGACAAAGTTTATAATTAAATAGAAAATGCTCTACTATCACATTTTCTCTCCTCGTCTCTCCGTTTTTGTTGCTCCATGTTTTATTTTGGATGGGTTTTTTTTATTATATGTTTATATAAATTGGTAGTGTTTTTTTTTTTTATTATATGTTTATATATAAATATATAATTATATAATTGTATAATATATAATTGGTAGTGTTTCCACCATACCTGACTAGCATTTTACAAATCCCACATTTTGCTGTTGTTGTTACTAAATGCACTTTTTCTTAGAGGAGCAAAAAAGTATTCTAGAAATAAAATACTCTTTATTGTATTTTGGAAGTGTGTCAAATCTCAAACCAGATTATTTTTTCTTCCCCCTGACAAATCCTGGCTACCTATATCTTTTAGCGTAGTCACGCAGCTTCTTGTGTTTATTTGTTTGCAGAGGGAAACCTGTGTGACATGAATGATCACTGTGATTTGGAAACTACTAACTGCACACCTGGGGAAGGCACATTCACCTGTGAATGTAAAGAACATCTTATAAAGTCAAACTTCTCTGAGAGAATGTGCATTGGTAAGTGCGTCAAATAGTAAAAGTGTGAAGGTGTGTGTTATTATAATTTGTAAATAATATCCAATCAGTGCGTGTTTTATTTTGCTTTTACAGTTTGTAAGAGTGGACAATACTCGAAAGATAACATCGAGTGCGTCAAGTAAGTCTCCGAAAGTCGCAATGTCAGTTTTCTTTCTTTCTTTTTTTTTCTTTTTTCTTTTCATATTTTTGTTTGCTTATTCTTTAACTGCAATAAAGTTTAAATGGAACTGCCTGCCTATCTTTCAGCTGCCCCTTCGGTTCCACTGGTGTAAGCTGCACTGAAAGTGAGTATATATTTATCACTGCTTTAACACGCTGTCATGTGAACACATCACAGGGAAAAGCTAATAACCAAACTCGATGAAGGGGCAAAAAAAAAAGGTTGAAATATGATTTTTCCTTTTTTTTTTTCATAATAATAACGCCCTCTGGGTTAGTTACAAATAAATACAGGTGTCAAAGACATGCTGTTATTCGCCTTAGGATTCGCAATGTAGGAAAAATATCAAGTCATGTGTTGATTTGTCTGGATTAGTCACAATTAATCATTATTACCATCAAGATTTATTATAATAATTGAGCCACAGCTACCCAATGAATAATCAGACTAAACATTGAATTTGAATTTTTGTGTTACTTTGTTTAACAGAATGGCAGCTGGCTCTAGTCATTGTTGCATCTGTGCTGGGTGCCCTGCTGGTCATAATGCTCATCATTCTGTTGGTGACTTCCAGGTATGGTTTGTGCTAACATGTGCTAATTTTGAGGCGGAAATTGTCCAGCTAAGCGTCAACAGCACTAAAATCTCCATTACATAGTTAAGATCTGAGACTTTTTTTTAACGCTTATCTAGGAGTTCATTTAGGCTATATTCAACTAACTTATAGTATTCACACTACATATGTTGGAACTGTTAACTCTACTACTGCATGTACTAGTCGGCATATCTGCTGTTAACACAAGACTTTCCCAAATATGGGATCAATATAGTTAAATTATTATTATTATTATTTTTACTGTACGTGTTTATTTATTTCATACCAAATTTGTGACGTAACCAAAAGACTATAGGTTGTCCAGAACATAACTGAAATGCACCAAAGATATATAATAATAATTAAAGTGAGAGTTTTGTTAAAAGATGTGGTAACCAAAAAAAATAATCTAATGAAAAATATTAATTATAAATGAGTTATTAGGGAATAGACTGACTGAAAAATTGAAAATAGGTTTGATTAAATTGTGTCAAAAGCACCTCTTGTGAAAATGTGCCCTCTAATCCAGCTGATCATTTATGTATTTCTCGAACCCAAAGTCTAAATGCTTTTGTGTGAAAACTTCATTTGCAGTCGTTTTCTATCCTCCAGATCTGCCAAGAAAAAATCAAAGGCGAGTAAAAATGTAGACATTGGGAAGCCATATGTCAGTCACTCTCCTGCCAAGTCACCATTGGTATTCAGCAACGGCAACGCTTCGCTTGGAACAACTGCAGTGCCAGAAATTCCACGAGCCACAGTCCAGAGCAGCTGGAACGCCAGGGACAACTATGAGATGTCTCCAAGGAACGGCCGGCAAAACGGTGACAGGAACATGGTAAGCGTGCCGCCATATGTGTTTGATATGCAACCTCTGCAACAATCGTTATGATTGTTATTAACTGCGCAGAGCAATGTTGCCCCTATGGGCAACGAGTCAACTGTTAAAATGACTAAACAAACAGAGAAGGGAAATCGGTATTCATGGGGGCTGTCAAATGATTAAAATGAATATAAAATTTGAATAACCAGTTGATAGCTTTGTAGTAAGTAAGGTAACGATTAATCATGACTATAATGCACCGTTTATCATGATTAAATCAGACAAATCTAAGTTCTAAATATGACAAATTGTAAACATATCCAATAGAAAAACAAATTGCTTTGACACCTGATTCAAATTTGTGAGTGATTCAAATGATGGATTTAAAATGTAACAAAATGTTACAAATATAGCCAAAAGTATGTGCACGGCAGAATTATTGGATATTCAGTGCATGTAGTTTTTCCAATGCATTAACAATTTAGACCTGATTAATCTTTACAAATTAATTAATACGTTATGTAATGTGAATCGATTAGCACATGTATGTCAACAGATTTGCAGTTCAAAGCTGTTATGCCTCGCTTAGTAATGCAGAATTGTCAAAGTGACCGATTTTTTGGTGTTCCATGAAAGATTATCAGATTTATCATATATTTAGTGCAAAGACCTTATTTTTTTCGTCTATGCGACATTGAGGGGCAGAACAATTTTTTTACACCACTAGAGGTGGAAGCAGATGGACATTAAAAAACTTTTACAAAAGAGACTCTGAGCTATTGAACAATTTTTTGTGTGACTTACATCAATTCCCACAGGTATATCAGCTTTGTGTTCATCTAAACAGGCGCAGGTTTCACACTGAGTGATTAAAGTGGAATTAGAAGATTCTTATATTTTATTAAACATATGTTTTGGGGCACTTTTGTTTTGGTGGTACGACGTGGGGGTTTAAAAAAAACCCAAAAACATACATTTAAACACAAAAACATTTAAAAACATTAAATATGTGCCTTGTTTGGGTCAGCGGTGGCTTAGTGGTTAAGGAAGCGGGCGTGGGTCTGGAAGGTTTCAGGTTTGAGTCCCCCAGCTGCCAGCTGCTCTGAGCATCCATCCAAACGCACTGCTCCCCAGGCTCTTAAAGCTCCCCACTGTTCACTTGGGTGATATAAAAGTTAATTTTTAATGTGTGTTTGACATGTATCAAACACAGATTTTTATCTACGTTAAAACAACCAGAACTAATGACCAACCGCATACTTAAACATAGGCATGTAAGTGGCGTTTTGTTTACAAAAGAACTATTTGTAGTAGTAGCCTGTTTGTCGGTTACAATTTCAAAATTGTAAGAACTGTATAATAAACAAGAGGGTTTTAAAAAGTAGTTCACACAATTAGGAACATTTTATACCAAAGGAATTGTGTTTCTCTTATGTAGCGGTACCCTTATGATGACCACCGTGACACTGACTTATACGAGTTTCGACCAAAAAGCGGCCCACGTGATCAGACCAGACCACAGCACAATCCCTATGAACCTAATCGTCCTAAGATGAACCCATATGATGACAAGCGCGGCAGCAATCCTTATGACAACAGAGGATACAACTAATGAAGCACATCGAGGGCTCATCTACTACACTTCCTTTCCCATGAATAACACTAGACAAATCCAAATCATTTTAGACAGACAAATCACCAGCCTTCATCTGTGAATGTAATGTTTTTGTTTTTTTTGGTGAAATAGCATGTTTGTGTGACACTTTGTGTTTGTTTTGTTTTGATAAATACCCTGAGTTCTTCATACAGCTCTGAGCCAGCCTATTGGTGTGAAAAATTTCCCTTTTTGTTTCACTGCAACTGTATTATGCAAAAAAAACCAAGAGGAACTTTCTCATTTACATTAATTTTTTCACCAAATTTTTAGGTTTAGGTTAAATGCATTTACAGTAAATAACATTTGTGTGTGTGTGTGTGTGTGTGTGTTTACAATGTTTTACTTAGTGACTCCAACAAAACATCACTGTTCTTCTTATTGAGAGTATATCCAAAAGTTCAATTTTTTCAGTAAATAAAACCACCACTAAATAAAACTGCTGAGACTACCTTTACTATTAAATCTTGATCAACCATGGTAGCTGCGTTTGTTTTATTTAAGTTAGTGTTTTGCCTTCAAAGATAAATAAATAGAAAAAAGAACAAACCTTGAAAGGAAACCAGTACACTCATTGTTTTTATTTAATATTTTTTACAAATAAAAATGTGTTTGATTGATCTTAAAAGACCGGCTGCAGGCTACTTTATATACATATTGTGCATAAACCTTTAGGTAGTTGCAGCTCCGAGTGTTTGAGGTCATCAACTAAAATTGTCAATTTTCCAATGATTTAGAAATGTCTTGGTATGTAGTGAAAGTCATTTGTTTAATAAAAAAAACTGTCCTAACAACAACAAAAAACGCACCCAAACTATGATTATTTTTGAAATACAAATATTTCACCATGTCATTTTTAACAATATTTTACGTCTGTATCTGATGGAGTTTTACCTGTAGCATAGCAGGTTCTTCCAGATGTTTTTCTTTAGGTGGGAAATATTACTACAAAAATGTGTTCCTTAAAAAGCATTCTAAGCCAGGCGTTCGCAACGTTAATGCCACTAGATGGCGATAGCTGTTCTATGTACTGTAGTATCTTCACTCACTTCACCTTAACGTCAGCATCAAGTTCAGATATAAAAACATTGAACAGCTTAAAAACAAGGTGACTGTAAAATCAGGGGGGGAAACTTCACAACTCCCAATTATTTGTTACAGTATACTGTTTGAAAACAGCTAGTGCAAATATTTTTCTTATTCTTAACTAACTTAAATAACCCATTGAAACATGTATATATAATGTAATAATTTAAAGTACATATTGTGTGTAATGTTCACAATGAATGTCAGTGTTTGTATTTTATTTTAGAGAAAAAAATATGGAAACTGCTTCATTAAAATGCGAACTAACATCTCACTGCATTATAGCAACTTTCGCCCGGGAACTAATTAGCAGATGCAGCGGCAGTAGGGTCGCCACCCGTCCTGTAAATATTTGTCAATTGAATGTTGCGCCTATTATTGAATCAATACGGGGGGCGATTTGTTCCGTATTTCAATGAATTACCAATACACACGTGTCACTAATATGCACACATCAACACTAAATTGACCAAAAATCGTTAAAATAAAATACAGGGAATACTAAGGCCAGCAATGTTGTCGCTCCCGCTTCTACGCAGGACCCCGCACATACGTCATGACGGCGTCTGTCAGGTGAGCAATACAGTACTACAGACAAGTATTAACTTCTAAGTTAATAAATAAACAAATAAATGTATTTGTTAAGAAAATATGTTTTTTTCTGGTTTGAAGATGTTTGTTTGATTTTTTGTTTGTTTGGTTGTTTGTGCTCCACCTACCTCGAGCTGTCGGGCGGGGCGCCGTGCTGGGCGTCCCTGATTTTTATTTCTATATGTTCTCTGGTTGTACGCCATACATTGGATTGTGCTACATTCACTCTGCATTTATGTTGTTATTTTTTGCCCTTCATTATGTCTCCCAGACATAAGTCAGATTCTTCTGATGTTTTTATGTCCTTTTTTATGATGTTACCACTGTGTTACTGTAGGTGAGTGACGTAGGTACCGATGTACAGTTTGTGAGTTCCAAATTATGGAGTGAAATGGCACCTTAGGAATGGAATTCCAATGACTCCGGTAATAAAGTGTGGCTGGGACACATTATTATATCCAATGGCTGTAAGGAATGTATGCTTGACTGAGTGTTGCAACTGATGCAAAAAAAAAACAAAAAAAAAACTATGACTATGACTATACAGAGGGGCCACATCAGATTCTCCTAACCCTGTAAGAATCTGCCCTTTCCACATAAAACAATCTATCATTAACCAGGTTAATTATGATCATGCATTATTATGATTAATCATGATTATTCCACATTTTTTGTTTCAGGAATATAAAGAAACATATATAGGAGTGTTGGTTTATCTGTATTAATCATGAATGATCATAATCAGTTGTGATGAATCAGGAATGTACAGAAACATACTTGGAAATGTTGATTTGTCTGGATTAATCATGCTTATTTGTGGTCATGAATAATCATATTTATCTGTGTTCATGATTAATCTATCCAGAGGAACCTAGTGATGAATGTGATTTCAGATTTTATTGTTTTGACAGCCCTAATATTAGTATTGTACATTATAGGTAATATGCACGCAGAATATCTTAATTTATCATTTAGGTCAGGGGTGTCAAACTTATTTTCACCGGGGGGCCACATCAGCAATAGAGTTCCTCTGTATAGATCAGTGGGCCCCAATTCCCGGTTTGCACACCGGTACCAGTCCATAGGCATAGATGTAACTACTCCATATCAGACTAATACATGCTTCTACAGTTGATTCCTATTTATTTAAGCTACAAATATAGTTCATTGCTGTGTACTAAAAAAAAACAAAACATTTATTTTCTCAGGTTAAGAAACTCTGCTGAATGGACTTTACTAAATGCTTTTTAAGCTCCCGCAGGCCACACAAAGTTATTTGGTGGGCAGCATTTGCCCCCCGGGCCTTGAGTTTGACTCGTGTGATTTAGGTCATTCACTTTGATTTGGGTTTTTTTTTTACAGTTTTTTATGTTTTGATGTTAGAAATCAACTCTTAGCATTAATCAGCTTTTTATAGCACGCGAACATGCTAGGGTTTATGATTAACGCGTCCTTTATCTTTACAGACCTATTAACAAAAATGACACAGAGGTGGTTTACCAAGAAATACTGAGATAATTAGAATATTTCATCGACCGTATAGTCTTTATTACTCAATTATGACAATAAGATCCACCTCTGTGTTACACAAATATGAGCTGTTACTTTTTCTTGCTGAAGTGGACAACATACCGACAGGTAAAAGTTAATATTGGATGGACTTTATGTAAACCAAAACCCATAAAAAAAACCCTGTGTTATACCCGTGTCACATTGTGAGTCTGCTGGTGTGGCGTATGGAACACACCTGGTTCCACTAAGACAACGTATCTGAAACGATCCGGCTCATTTGGACGATCTGGAATCAGGGAACACATGTAGCTCAGGCTCCTTCACTTAGACCAAACCAAACTTCCCAACCACAGAGAACTAAAGAGGAAGGGTGGAGAAGTGAAGTAATGGCCTTTACAGGTCTCCATCTTCTTTCTCTGCTACTGCTGTCTCATGTAACCGCACTTGTTCGAGGTAAGCATATGTTCCTAAAGTGTCGTCGAGCTTATTTTACGTTCTTCTTTCTGGGTTAACATATGATTTCTTTGAAAACACTCAATGACAAACTGAATGGATTTACTGGTGCATATTTTGCCTCCGGCAAAATTTGGGTTTAACTTCAATTGGATTGCTTTTTTTTTCATAACTTGGTCTCATTGTGCAGATGTGAATACATTGAAATTGATTTAATAAATAATCTCAGAAGGATTACTACATTAGGGCTACAAGACAAAAAAAAAATGGTTTGTGCTCTTGTTTTACCGCCAGTATCACCAGTTCAATTGCCTTTTGTAACCCAGTACTGGTTTCGTCTCACAGTACAAAGTCATGATGGATGAAATTAATTGTTTACTCCAAATTGTATGGATGTAAGTTTGATGGTTGCTTTTATCTACATGTGAATATGGTGAATGGAGTCAGCAGTAGAAGATGGATGGAACTGCAGTTACTATAACGTTGACTATTAATGCGTGGTGATTAAGGTATCGGAGTCTTACTCCTGTGGATTTCGTTTGCTCAGAAACGGGTATGATTTTGTTTCGTTTTGGTTTTGTATTTTTAACCATTTTAAGAAGAAGGTTCAAACAATTAGACATTCTGTCAACATAATCAACCATCTCTCTCTTTGTTTTTAAACTTGAAACTGTTTTTATCAGCTAAATAATCATCTATCTATGCATCTATCTATCTGTCTATCTATCGATCTATCCATCCATGTATCTACATGTATTGCACATAGTGGGATTACTTACAGAATTCTGTTAAATGTATCAAGCTATATTATTGAACAGTGAACCATAGTGTGTTGGACACACAGCAATGAAAGCATAAAACCATCACCTTGATATTTTCATGTTCTGGGACAATGTGAACGGCCATACAATACAAAGTACACATCCGTGTGCTGAATCAGACACACACTGTCAGGTCAAAGTGATGGACTTTTATATGATGGTGAAGAATTAACTCTTCTATAAAAGCCAAATCACATGTTTTGGGGGTTTATAATGCTGCAGCTGTCATAAACATAGTAATTCATTGGTAACAGGCACGTTTTTTCCCGCAAACTTACATTTGTATTTTTCAAAAAAGATTGGTGCCTTGAAGATAAAAAGAGTTCACTAAGGTTTACTTTGTCTGTCTGGGTCCATGAGGCTCACACACATTTTAGTGCAACTTTGCACCTTCAACGCTCGTTTATACACAATAATGAATGAAAAATGTGTATTATTTACCACAGTTTTCCTATTTATTGCATAATAATAATAGGATATTTTAAGGTTGTAACAGCAGCCCTGAACACTTTGAGTTGCTTCCGTGCCTTTTTTCTATATTACCAAAAATGGTAAGGAAATGGGGGGCCGACACGACAGTGTTGATTATTTTATTATCAAATTTTACTGATATTTTTTTTTTAACCATTTCTGAGCATTTATCTGTGTTTTGGTACTTTGAACTACCTTCTGTAATTCACAGACAAAGAAGTATTTGTAAATGTTGGACAAGCATTTACGTAAAATTATTATAATAATAAGATCAGGTGAAATGAATGATACAGTATATTTTTCCTACATTGTTAAAAGCCCTTTGAAGCTTAGGTTTAAATGTGCAACTGACCTGTTTGAACCCCTGTGAGCAGGACAAGATCTCATATCCTTCATCAAACACTGACGACAGCTCTGTCTGGATCTGTGTGTTTTTACAGGAACTTGTGAAAATGGTCAGTTTCAGTGCAGCAATGGACAGTGTATTGACATGGACTGGAGGTGTGATGGTACCAAAGACTGCACAGATGACTCAGATGAGCAAAACTGCCGTGAGTATCGTACCTGCTGGCCGTTGTGGCAGCCGACCTAGCGATCGGCCTCTGATTTCCTGCTTTGTTTTAGTTCTGTTCATTGTGTCCTGCTTGACTTGTGCTCCTCAAGTTTTGATACTCTTCTATGTGTAGATTCTGACATAAACTCTCAGACTCTTTGTCGTTCCAGAAACCACATGCAGTACGCAAGAATTCAAGTGTGTGACCAGCGGTGAATGCATTTCCCTGGGATTTGTCTGTGATGGCGAGGTAGACTGCGTCGATGGCTCAGATGAACAAAGGACCTGCGGTGAGACAGTGCTACAGACGCTATTGTTAAGCTTCATCTATCATTTAAAAATAATTTATTAAAAATAAATTTAAATATTATTAAATGAGTCATGCAAAAAAATTATAAAATAAATTAGGTACACCAACAAAAGTCAAAATTAAAAATTTACAAATGGGTACAGCAATAAAAATACATTTAAATCTAATTTCAGCAATTAATCAATTTGCCGTACCGTGTTTATAATCATGTGTTCAACACAAAAACGGAAACTACTTCCATTTTAGGTGGAAGGACCTGCGTTTAAATTGAATCTAATTTCAGCGATGAATCAATTTGCCGTACCGTGTTTATAATCATGTGTTCAACACTGCAAAAACGGAAACTACTTCCATTTCAGGTGGAAGGACCTGCAGCACAGATCAGTTTACCTGCCAGGAAGGCCAGTGCATTCCCCTCAAATACAAGTGTGACCGAGTTAAGGACTGCGTGGACAACTCTGACGAGAACACCTGCAGTAAGACGCACGTCTGAGACTGCTGTGCTAAATCGCAAAACTCACAAAATATCACCAGATAGTGTGTTATCATATCTGTTTATTATTTGCTTTAAAACCACCATGTGAAAAAGTAACCATTGAAGTGTTGTCCAGACTATCCACAGTGCACTGAGAAGACGTGTGCGAACGGAGCCTGTTATAAAAACTCCCAACACTGCAACGGGCTGCAGGACTGCAGAGATGGCTCAGATGAATTCAACTGCAGTAAGTTGAAAATCAATAAATAACTACTATGTAGAGTATATAATATTTTTTGTGTATTGGTGTATTTTTTAATTATTTATAGTAATTTTAAAATATAAAAATATGTCCTATACAGTGCAGCCAGTAGGCAGTTTCTTTGTGTGTTTCGGGTTTACTGTATATTTTTATGCATTTCTTGCCACTGGACATGTGGTACGGTGCAAACGGTAGATAGGAACTATAAAAACTATGGAAATCTGGAGTGGCAGAAAAGTATGTGGGGGTGGCGCAGGATATGTATAATGACAGGAAGGTACATTCAGGCACAACGTGAAACATTTACTTATGTCAACATACATATGAAACCATAAAAAGGACTTAACAAATGTTTTGTAACAGATGATATACTTACATAATATTGTACCAATAACAATAAAAAGTAGTACATTTTTAAAAATAGAAAATGCATTTTTCATAGATGTAGGGATCAAAAAAGTGTCAGCTCACTTTATGTCTGTCAATCCTGTCTTTCATATAGGCATGTCATAGATATAGATACTTCCCACAGTGTGCATTTGTTCCTATACTATATTATTGAATTTGTCACATTTAATCACTAACAGTAATTTATTTTCATTTTAATGTATTTACAGCAACGAACCACTGTCCCATCCACCAGTTTCAGTGCACGAATGGCTACTGTGTCCCAAATTCGTTTGTGTGTGACCACTGGGACGACTGTGGGGACAACAGTGATGAACAAGGCTGTGGTGAGGATGACACTAGTCATTTAGGCTTCATCGCAACAGAATAGATGAGAGTAGTACCATTTCTATCTATCCATCCATCCATCCATCCATCCATCCATCCATCCGTGTTGAACAGAACCAAGAGAGACTGCAGGACGGATCAGACATGACTGTTGGCTGTGCAGATTCACTCTATTCACCACGTAACATAGAGGGGCGCTGTTTCACATGATAAAACAGGAGAAAGGAGGAGACGACAGTGTTTTTATAAAATGGTGGTTATTGTTTTTTTCTGAAAAAATAAAGAAGCCTGGCTTCCCTTGGCCTGTGCAAGAAAATAGGTGTAACAAGCAAGACAAAACACAGGACACAGAAACTACTGACCAAGATTTGCTGTGAGTCCTGATGTAAAATTCTTTTTTTTTTAGTGTACCAAAGCTGTAGTGGAAATCAGTTCACATGTTCTAGTGGGCGATGTATACCGCAGCGCTGGGTGTGTGATAAGTTCAACGATTGTGGAGACTACAGTGATGAGAAAGGATGTGGTGAGTGAAAACATCCTTCTTAGTAGATCAATAATGAAGTTATTTTAAAAGATAACATGTATTAAAGATTTTTTTTT